TACTTAAATTTTTCTGAAATTTTTTGGTGTTCCTGGGCTGTATGGTTTGTCTGTAATTTTTTAAAAATTGTCACAAATCTCTAGCAACTAGTTGCGCAGTATATTTGTTGAAAACAAAGCCATGGATGAGTGGCCTTGTGCAGCCAAGCCTGTGGTGTCCAGGCGCCAGCTGTGTACATACACATGTATCCACGTTCATCATGGAGTTATTCAGCTGACATGTTTTATTTCCTGCTTTTCCTAGTCCTTACCTGAACATAGTAGAAGTGCTTTTCCTAATGCTCTCAGGAGGAGCTTTTCTCCTCTGATGGTAGAAAACCAGAGGTGGCCCGAGCCAATGTCCCTCAGCCCTCGAGGTTGCTCTGTAGATGGTGCAGCCTGGAAGCACAGAGCAGAAGCTCAGCTCACACACACAGGGGCCGGCAGAGGCCATCAGTTCTGAATTCTCTCACAGAGCTGGGTTTGGCAGGCTCTTTCTGTACTGGGCCAGTTAGTCATATTTTAGGCTTTTCTGGATGCACAGTTCTTGTTCTATTATTCAACTCTGTCCATGTAGAACAAAATTAGTCATAGATTATATGTAAACAAGTGAGTATGGTTATGTTTCAATAATTTTTGTTTTCTTTTTTTACAAAAACACGTGGTGGGCCATAACTCTCTGACCTTGGCTTTCTAGGAGTATTTTTTTGAGCGAACAGAATTACTAGGATCGATAAGCATAAAATCTCATTGATTTCTGTTAAAATATTATCAATCCTTAAAATCTGATGTTAACATTTTTCAAAAGCATTGTCATGAATAAAGGACCTCTTTAAGGGATGGGGAGAGAAGAAGGTGAAGAAGATCACCAGTGAAATTACTTCACATTTTTGTCTCCAGTAACCCCCTCCTCTCTGCGGTTCCCTCACTTTCGGGTTTTCTCCACTCTGACTTTGTGGAAGTGTGGGTGGAAAGCCGTCTCTAGCAGGCTCGCTTACTTTTGAAAGCCTGGAGAAGCCGAGGGCCTTGATGGTGAGTGAGGAAACAGTGGAGGTGGGTAGTGCTTGGCCATTGGAGGGACTTCCCTTACTTATCCAGCAGTCAAAAACCAGGTTTTTGTTTTGGGGGGCAAGGTGGGGGTCGGTACTTGCTAGGTCTTAAGTGCTTTGTTAATTGTTGTCTCAGCTTTCTGGTTCTCAGAGTTCACAGATGAGGTTCAGAGGAAAGAGCTGTCAAGAAAGGAGCCAGAGCTCAGGAGAGGGACCTTTCTGGGCTGTGAGCAACGCTTAACCAAATGTGGATCTGTGGTGTAGGTGGAGGGAGAGGTGTGAACTTGCCTCCAGGTGCAGAGACTTCGAGAGAGAAGAGCACCAGGAGGACATGTAAGGGGCGGTGGGAGCATGTTAGAGGGGGAACGGGGAGTGGGATGGGGTTTTGGAGGAAGCACAGCAGTATCTGCACAGGGTCCTGTCAGGAAATGAGACTGGAGGTCCTGGCTCTGATGGCGACAGGCAGATGTCGGTGCTGTCCTGTCCCGCACATGTTCCCCTGGCTCCCCATCAAGTCTCGGGTTGAATGGTGGCAGGGAGGGGGCACTGGTGGCCTTACTTCTTCCTGTGGGACCTGCCTTGGACAGATCTGCACTTCCTAGAGCCCAGCAACTGAGGGGAAGAAGCTCCTGTCCTACAGGTGTGTGGTTGTCAGGCCATTCTGGAGAGGTTGAGTGGGCCAGATCCCTGCCCCCTCAGTTATGGCTCCTGACCTTGTCCCATGTGCATCGCCCCCGAGACTCGGGCACTAGCTCTGTGTCAAATGTAGTCAGCAGCACCTCTAATAAAAAGTAATAATAAGGATACACCATCTGGTAATCACACAGGGGCATTTGTCAGGTGTCTCTGGGTGCTGGGTTCCTGGGGGCTCCTGGTAGGTATGGGGGGGGCTGTTGTGTGCATGCCTCCCACGTGGGGTTGTGTTTGTACAGCATTCCCGTGGGTCCTCCTTACCCATCAGCGAGAGTTATGTCATGTTTTGGTTTTTGTAAAGTAGAGCAGCTCGTGGGAATGTGAACTTCCGACGTCGGTCTCAGTCACATGCTTGTGATTTCTCTTCATTCGTTGGTTTCTGGTACTGCTGTGAGCCATATTTGGTCTCCCCTTGCGGCTGTGCACTCTGCAGAACTGGGCTTTTTCTGTGACTCAGGCAGTGCACGACTTGAAGGAGCAGCTGGGTGTGGACTGTGGCGCGGGTGCGTCTGGAGAGGGTGGCCTGGTTCTCTGTTGGCGTTGCTCCCTGGTTGAAAGCGTGTGTTTTGGAGTTGGTCTTCCTTTGCAGCCGCGTCACTGTGCAGGCTCTTCCGGTGGGGATCCAGTGTTGATGTGATGGACACTGCCTCTTACCCACAGCCTTCCCACTTACTTTGGGATAGTTTTGGAAACATGTTTTTGTTCAAGTTCAACCATTAAATTGCTTCGCAGTCTGGCGGGTAAATTTCTTAACTTTAGTTGCATTGGATGATCTCTGAAGGCCTTTGCATTACTTCCGTCATTCTCACAGGGCCTCCCTCAGAAGTGCTGTATTTGACAGTCCGGTGATCTGCAGTGGTGGAAGAGTTCTTTATGACAGCGACGGTGAGGACAGAGGAATGATGACTCAAAGGTTCCTTTCTTGCAGTGAACACGTGTGCCGAGGGTGCTGTGCCTTCCTTGTAGTGTGTGTACACAGGCTGGCACACACCAGTGAGCTCGTGTTCTGTGGATGACACTCTGAGGTGAACTGGGTCACCTGGGAGCTTCCCGGGTCCATGAACAGGAACTGCTGATGAAAGGGTGGCGCAGGAGCTGTAGGAAGTAGCTTTCAGTGAGTCCCTGCCACAAGGTGACTTTCTGACTCTGAACATTTGTCTAACTTTCCTTTGGGAATATTTTCAGTCACAAAATCTGAGGACAGTTGCCAGTCCCCAGGTTCGGTGTTTACTGGCATTTGGCCAGCTTCGGTTTATTCATCTCTTCCTTCTACTTGTTCATGTTTTCAAATTTTTTTTTCTTTCTTTAAAAACGTTTTAATTTTAGTATTTTAATTTTTAGTGTTAATATTTTAGTAAATCTCAGACATCACCTTGATGTACCAGCACGGGTTTCAGTGGGTCTCTGTCAGCTAGAAACTTTCACAAGCCATGACCTTTGCTCTTTTCACAGCGGCTCGGTGGGTAGCTGGTGCCCCTAGTTGTCTCGGTTGCCGCCCGCCACTGTCTTGCTGACCCTGTCCGTGCTGTGAGAGCAGTTTGGGCTCCACGGCTCAGGCTCTTCACACCGGCAGCAGGTCCTGCAGTAGTGGCCGCATCCATCACTGAGTGCTGCTGCCGCCCCACCTGCCCCAGAGCCCCTTTTCACCTGCAGGAGGCTGCCCCCCCCCCCCCCCCCCCCCCGAGTATCAGAGTCTGTATCGACGTGCGCTGCTGCTGCTTTTCCTCATGGCGGTGGGCGCCGGGTTTTCTTCCCAGCTGAGTTGTGAAGGCACCCACGTGTGCATGTGAGGCTGCTCTCCGCCATGCTGGTCCTTGTGGTTCCTAAGTCCACCTGCAGACCTGGTTTCAGTATGAATGTTCATTCCTGCCTTCACAGCATTTTTGGACCCCAGCCTCTCTGAGCTTTTATCCCCACAGATGGGGTTTGAGGTGGGCTCAGCATCCCCCTCCCCTTGTGTTTCATTTTTGTTTGTTTTCTTCTCAGATTATCATAGATCACATGAGATGTAAGAAATAACAGGGAGCGGTTCCTCGGACACGTGGCCTGGCTTCCCCATGGTCGCATTTTGCAAAATGAACAGTACCCACCTTGGGCATATATGGGCATTGATAAAGCCCTCTGGTCTTATTCAGACAGCTGTTTCACCCTGACTCAGAGCGGGTGTTGAGTTCTATACAGTTTATCACAGATGCAGTTTCCTGTGTTCACAGTCAAGATGTTAAAACCCTTGCACAGGGATCCGTCTGGTTGTCCTTCTGTGACCACACCCATCCCCTCCCAGGATCCTTTTTCCAGCCTGGCAGCCACTAGTCTGTTTTCTGCGTCTGCGGATTTATTTGCCTATTTCGGATGTTCATGTGAAGGAAAATCTGTGGGCCTTTGTGTCTGATGCAGCTGAGCTTGGTGCCGTCGAGGGACACCCATGCTGCTGTAGGCATCAGAGCACAGCCCTCCCTGTGGCAGTTCGTGTGGACGGTGCAACCACCTGCCAGTGGACATCTGAATGGTCTCCTAGCTCTTGGCAGTGCTGCTGTGAACATGGACATGCGAGTGTCATGTGGATATGTGTGCATTTCTCGGGCGCACCTCAGTGTAGATTGCCACACTGCCTTTTGTTTGTCTAGCCCTTTGAAGATTATTGTTTTATATTCTCTTTTTGGAAAACCTGTTCGGGTTGGGGTGCTGATGCTGCGATCTGGTGTGGTTTGTCCTTTCTTGGGTAGATTGTCAGGCCAGAGCTAGGTAGTGATGTGATCATTCTGGGGGTGGCTCTGGCCTTGCTGGGGGAGGAATGGGTGCCAGTGGAGGGTCTCCCAATCTGCTGCTCACATCCTGATTGAATCCCAAGCCCCTATGCAACTGTTGTTTCCTCCAGGTGAGCATGAAGATCTCCTCTTAGAGTCCCACCACCTCTTTGTTCTGTTTGCCACCCCCACCTCTCCTTTTTTTTTTTTGCAAAAGGTTCTTGCTGTGTCCCCCAGGCTGGAGTGCAGTGGCATGACCACAACTCACTGCACCCTCAACCTCCTGGGCTGAAGGGATGCCACCTGCCTCTGGAGTAGCTGGAACCACAGGCTTGCACCCCCACACCTGGCTGATTTTTGTATTTTTTATAGATACAGGGTCTTGCTATGTTGCCTGGGCTGGTCCTGAACTCCTGGGCTAAAGCAGTCATACCACTTAAGCCTCCCAAAATGTTGGGGTTACAGATGTGAGCCACTGTACCTGGCCATATATATATATATTTTTTTTTGAGCTGTGCATTTTTATTGCTGTCTTTTCCCTTACAGCAAGCAGGTAATTGAGAGCAAGAGAAAATGCTGCTCTGGTCTGGGCCCGGTGGCTCATGCCTGTAATCCCAGCACTTTGGGAGGCCAAGTTGGGTGGATCACTAGGTTGGGAATTCCAGACCAACCTGGGCAACATGGTGAAAACCCGTTTCTACTAAAAAATACAAAAATGAGCATGGCACAGCAGCAGGTGCCTGTAATCCCAGCTACTTGGGAGGCTGAGGGAGGAGACTCACTTGAACCTGGGAGGCAGTGAGCTGAGCTTGAACCTGAGCTGAGATCAGGCCACTGCACTCCAGCCTGGGTGATAGAGTAAGACTCCATCCAAAAAAAAAAGCCTCTGAAAACATGTTAAGTATGGACAAAGTATATTGGAATCTGGTTTGATGTAGGGCTTAATTTTTTAAACCAGTGAGTAGTGTAGTGAGCACTGTGAACAAAACTAGAAACCAGATAACAGTGTTTTCAGGAAACAGAGTACAGCAGTCGGTTGCAAAGACAGTTTCTCCCTCCTCTCCCCACACCCTCCTCCTCTTTTTTTGTTTTTGGTTTGAGAGAGAAAGAGTCTCGTTCCGTTGTCCACACTGGAGTGCAGTGGTGCGATCATGGCTCACTGCAGACTTGACTTCCCGGGCTCAAGTGATCCTTCCACCTCAGCCTCCTGAGTAGCTGGTCCAACAGGCATACCACCGTGCCTGGCTGTATTTTGTTTTTTGTAGAGACAGGATTTTGCCATGCTGCCCAGGCTCCCCACCAGGTTTTGAACAAGTTTTGCCATGCTGCCCAGGCTCCCCACCAGGTTTTGAACAAGTTGCCCAGGCAGCAGGAAGTGGACATGCAGCCGCTCGATGTAGTAAGGATGGTAATGCATAGAGCTGTAATCACCAGTTTGCAAAGCCCCCGCAGCTGTTGCTGCTTGGAGCCTTTGAGGGCTTTCTTGGTGGAGGGGTGCTTTGTGCCATGGAGGATTTATAGAGGCCCCCAGACAGTATGGACTTGTCAGGTTGAGGAGGGACAAGTCAGGAACAGGGTAGAGGGGAGCAGGGACGGGTGTGTGCCATGGCCCGAGGAGAGAGCATGAGTGACCATGGCAGCTGCACACTCCACATCGTTTGAAAGCATCACTGAGTTGCAGGCTAGGGCTGCATGGAGCATCACTGGCCTTTCCCTAGTGGAAGCAGTGGTGTGAGGTCTGCTGCTCTGGGCACTGCCTCTGTGCTCAGTAGGAGGGGCTCCCAGTGCTTCGGGGCTAGTGCTGGCCCCTGTGGCAGGAATCTGGAGCAGCACTCCACCCACCCCTGAGAGAATGCTGAACTAACTCCCCTGTGGAACGGACACTTGTGTTTTGATGTGAGACACCAAAAGGGGTATGTGGACTGTCCCCCTTTACTAAGGGGCCTGCTCCTCCTCGCCAGTGGGTGTGGTTTGGAGATTTGAGGTAGCAAGTGTCTGGTGAACCTCGGGGCGGCACCTTGGAGTCTGTTGTAGAAGAGAGGGCGCTCTAGCAGAAGGAGCCATGGCTGGGCATCCAGCCTGTACACTGGCAAAGCTGCAGGCCAGGAGCTGGCAAACCACGATCAGTGGACCTAATCCAGCCTCTGTTCTATCTTTGTGTAGCCTGATTGCGAAGGATTGTCTTCACATTCTTAAAGGGTTGTTCACAGCAGCAATAAAGATGTGACAGAGGTCGTACATGGTTTGCAAAACCCAATGTGTGTGTCATCTGGACCCTTGCAGAAAGCCTTTGCTGACCCTGTCCTGGGTGCCCCTGCAAGTGGGACTTGGTATAACCATTGCCCACATTTAAGCGAGCTGCTTCGTGAAGGCCAAGTCAGGCATGATGTCTAGGTGACTGCACCGCACCTCTGTCTAGAGTCTCTCTCAGCACCCTCACGACAGATGCAGGAGACAGCTCAGGTTAGCCAAGGCAAGATGGCAGCCTTTTCAACAAGAATCTGCTGATTGTGCCAAGTGGAAACTGACTGATCATGAAAATTGGGTTTCTCATAGTGAGATACCTCGTCATAACAGTCAGAATGGCTGTTATTAAAAAGTCCCAAAAAAAAAAAAAAAAAGCAGATGCTGGTAAGTCGGTGGATTAAAGGGAGCACTTATACACTGTTGGTAGAAGTGCAAGTTAGTTCAACCATGTGGAAAGCAGTATGGCAGTTCCTCAGAGAGCTAAAACCAGAACTACCATTTTTCCAGCAATCCCATTACTGGGGTATATACCCAGAGGAATAGAAATCATTCTGCCATAAAGACACATGCAGGCGAGTGCCCATTGCAGCACCGTTCACAGAAAAAGACGTGGAATCCACCTGGATATCCAGCAGTGACAGATGGGATAAAGAAAATGTGGTACATATATACCATGGAATACTGTGCAGCCATAAAAAAAGAGTGAGATCATATCCTTTTTGTTTGAGATGGAGTCTCACTTTGTCAGGCTGGAGTGCAGTGGTGCCATCTTGGTTCACTGCACCCTTCACCTCCCAGGTTCAATTGATGAGATCGTCTTTTGTGGGAACATGGATGGAGCTGGAGGCCATTGTCCTTAACAAACTAACACAGGGACAGAAAACCAAGTGCTGCATGTTCTCACAAGTGGAAACTAAATGCTGAGCACACATGAACACAAAAAGGGAACCACAGGCACTGGGGTCTGCTTGAGGAAGGAGGAAGGAGGGCACTGGGCTGCATATCTGGGTGATGAAGTCATCTGTTCAGCAAACCCCCATGACACAAGTTTACCTGTATGACGAACCTGCACCCTGAACCTAAAATAAAAGTTTTTTTTTTTTTTTAAAAAAGTTGGACTTCTGCTGAGAGATCACCTGTGCCTGTTTCTTATTTCCATGGACACTGGCCAGGAGGAATTGTGGTGAAAGGCCCCTACTTGGCTTACTGTTCTTCCCTTTCTTGAGTGAACATACCTGCTTCTCAATCGTTAAGGCATGCGCAAGAAATAAATGCTTGGCAATATTTTGAAAGCGAGTTTCAGAAAATCCTGGAGCCATTTCACATGCAGGCTGTCTCAGCAGCACAGTGAGGCTATGCCATGCGGTACCCAGTGCAGGCCTCTCATCTGGGAGGCTCCCAGCACCTGGTTGGGCACAGTTGCTCCCACTCTTCCGTGGCCAAGGAGAGCTCTGTGTTGTGTGCTTTGCAGCCCCCACCAGTGCTTCATGCTCTTTAACTCGAGAGCTCTGCCTCTGCTGATGGAAACGTTAGGAGTTGATGACACAGGCTTTAGACTACATGAAAAGTTGCCCTGGGGTTGGAAGTGTGTGTGTTTTTATCAACCAGAATCCAAGGTTTCTGAAATTCCACATACATCTTTTCAACAAAAGCCAGCTCTGGAACTTCTCCTTCTCTAGGCTTTTCAACCACTTTTAGAATTCAGTTCTCTGACCAGCCAGCACAATAGTCATCACTGGACGGGGTTGTTGAAAAAAGGGAGTTAACCACCTGGTAAAAAGGAAAGCATACAGGGTCTGTCGTAAGGGAAGGAGAGTTTTGTCACTTTTGAGGCCATTTTATTATATCTTCATTATTTTGCCTTCCAGACTTGCTACCTATATTAACCAGATTTCATAGCATCTTCCAGAAAGCTTGGGAAGCATCTCAGAATGTGATTTCCACATCATCATTTGAAGATTAACACAGTGTTGTTCATTTGGCTTCATAATACATGATTTCTCAGGTATTCAGCATTTGATGAGGCTTTTCCCTGGGCCGTCTACTCGCCAGGCTTTCTCAACGGCTGCAGTTGGATCAGGTTGGCCGTGGTGCTGACAGAGCTTCCACTTCTCAGAGCCGAGATGAGGTTGTGTGATTGTAAGTAGTGTTTACAGTCTGACAGGGAACATCAGTGTGCGATAGGGCAAGCTTTTCCCACAGCCCATGGTGGCTTTGAATGTGGCCTAATGCACGTTTGTAAACTTTATTATGAGATTTATTTTTAAAGCTTATCAGCTGTATTAGCATTGGTGTATTTTATGTGTGGCCCAGGGAAGCCAAAAGATGGGACACCTGTGTTTTCAGATCTGACTGCTACACTTAGTGCTGTTTCCAGGGCGAGTAGGTTAGAAAAATACATTGAAAGGCTCCACTCTGTTGAGAGTTACATCTGTGTTGAAGCAGCATCTCATACAACTTGCCATGAGTAGGATGTGTTTTAGTTGCCTATTCTGGTGTAACAAAACCATGTCAATACATGATGTCTTCAGAAAATAATGACTTGTGATTTCTCATAATTCTTGTGTTGCCTGGTGGTTTTCTGCTGGTCATGCCTGGGATCACTCAGGCTGCAGTAGGCTGGTGGCGGGGCCAGGCGGAGGGGGTGCTTCTCATAGCTCAGCCGTGTGAACTCCCACATGTTGCCTGAGGGCACAGGTGGAAGTGGCAGGGTCCTCCTGGGCCAGCAAGTCTGGGGTGCACCCATGCCCCAGGGCTGGAGAGGAAAGCTCCATGTCTTTTTTTTTTCTTCCTTTTCTTTTGTGTGGCCTTCTAATGAATGTGTGTGTGTGTGTGTGTGTGTTTGTGTTTAAATCAGTATGTTGCTTGGTTGACTGTGCAGGAGTGCAGTGGCATAATAATAGCTCACTGCACCCTTGAACTCCTGGGCTCAAGCCATCCTCCTGCCTCAGGCTCCTGAGGGTCTGGGACATCTATGCCATCATACCTGGGTAAATTTTTTTACTTTTTTGTAGAGACAGGGTTTTGCCATGATGTCCAGGCTGGTCTCAAACTTTTTGCCTCAGTCAGTCCTCTTTGCCACAACCTTCTAAAGTGCTGGGCTCACAGGCATGAGCCACTGCATAGGGCTAGGGCTCTACTTCCTGATGGCCAGAATCCTGGAACCCATAGGCGCATGTTCGAGTCCACCACTGTGTGTGTGTGTGTATGTGTGTTTCACAGGGTCCTAGGCCACATAAATGGAAAGGAGCGTGTGGTGCTTGGTGACATCAAGAGTGAGTGAGGCTTGCCACACAGAGTGCATTTAAATCGGACAGAATACAAAGAAAGTTTTGGTGGTTTTTCCTAGATTCTGGTCTCAGGATTGTGAACTGTATAGGTTTTTTTTTTTTCCTTTAGAGATTCTAAGACTTTGCAAGACTGAATCTTAATCCTTGGCTGGCATTTAAGCATAAATAACAAATTCATGTGCATTGTTAAATACAGGGTGAATTTAGAGAATGCTTCAGAAGTTAGAGTGAAAGAAAATCTTTAAATGAAAACCTACCTATTCTGATCAGAATTCTTTTATCTGGAAACATTGTATATTTTTGATAAACTGGGATAAGTACATTCGCGCTGACATGTGTGCTCTCTCTAGTGTCTATGGAGCTGCATACATGCCTTCAACCATCATGCAGGATTTAGTATCGTCTCTTCGGGCTTCAGTGCTGCCCACTTCATTCTGTAGCTGTGCATTTTAGATTTTGATTCTAAGAGGAACTTTCATACACTCTTTACAACTCAGATTTTGGTTCTGCTTCCAGTCAGCGAGGACAGCTGGCTGAGCAAGGTGTTGTGACGTTTCCCTCCGGCAGACAGAAGAGCAGTCTTCATCCCTAGCAGTGGGAGCTGCATACCCTGGGATCCCAAAAACCTACGTGCCTTTCAGTTTGCCCAGTGGTTGTTTCAGAAGTGGAAGGAGAAGGGAATTGGTATTTCAAAAGTGTAATACAAAATTCCTTAGTCAATTTTGTTAACCCAAGTCACATTTGTTAATCCACATGTCAATTTGGGGAAATAATTGTGTCTCGTGTTGAATTTTGCATCTTTACAAAACTTTCTGGCATTTAATGAAACATAGCTGAGAAGTACTTGAGGATTAGTCTAGCTTGCCCCTTCCTATGAATTCAGGGTCCTCCTGCCTGGGGCCACTCTCACAAGCCTCTGGCCATCTCTCCAGGGTGTTTGCAGTGCTGCGCCAGCTCACATCCCACTGCTGCCTTGTCTGACCTTTACTGTCCGTCTGAGAGTCTTGCAGTTTTGAAGGTCTTGTCTAGAGTGAGGTTTTTATTATTATTTTTTTAATGTTTAAGGTTAGTTTTCTCAAGCTTAAATCTTTTTTACTTTGTGCTTCTCCCTAAATCCTTAAAAACACTTGTCTGTGTAACTTGTGGTCCCTGGGTTTGAAGGTGATGTTTCTGGTGGTAAGCTTCTATTGATGGTGCTTCAGTAGGAGTGGAAGGTCTGCCTGAGCCTTTGGCCTTTGCTGCAGTCCCGCTGCCCTCGAAGCAGCATTCTCCCAGCAGGGAGGGCCTCGGTGCTGCCTGGGCAGAGCCTTCTGGTGATGTGGACGTTTCTCAGCCGATTCTGTAGTGTCATAACCAAAAAGTAAAACACTCGTTAATGGCTTGAGTTATGTAAATATGGAGTATAAACAGGTGAACTGGCACAGACCCTAAATTTCAAAGTTGAATGATGATGAAGATGATCACTTGGCCTGAATGAGGAAGCTCATGCCCAATGGTTTGTGCTCCCCTTAGAGAAGTGCAGCTGGGACATCTCCCTGCAGCCCCTGGGCCTCAGCACTGTGATGGCTCTGTGTGCCGAGGCCAAGGCCTACATCACCCTGTTTCTTGCTGCTTGGGGCCCTCTGCAGGAGAAAGAAGTGGGGTGTGCCACTGGGGTTTCCTAAGGGGATGCAGAGCTGGTGGTTTAGGGTAACTGAGCAGGATTTCTGACTTACTGGAAGAAGTGGGGGCCTAGCCAGGTTGCCAGAGCCTCATCTGTGATTGGGTTAAGAGGTTTCCATGATGAGCAGCAGGGGCTGGGGCAGGCTGATCCTGGAAGCCAAGGCTGCCCGTTTGCAGTAATGGATTGTATGAGTTGGACTGGATCCCATCTGGTTGTGAGACATGAGGAACCTCTAGCAGGTGCTGAGCAGCAGCCGCGTCCCAACCTAGGCTCAGTGCAGGGTCAAGAGACTGTGGGTTTTGTTGAGGTTTCATGCTGAGAAGCTGTGACTGACCAGGTCTTTCGCTGCTTGCATCTTTCTTGGAGGCCTAATAGAGATTTTAGTGAACCTAAATGTTTTCTTCTCCTCCTCCGCCTCCTATCCGTAACCCCATGACTGACACACTCACCTGGAGTTTTGAAACGGAGTCCCCATGTGACAGGTGAAGCTGCTTAGTGTTGACCTTAGATGTTCTGGGTTCCATACCATTAATTTCATTTTGGGCGCACCTGCTTCTAGAATGCCATTTTAGTCAGTGGGGAAGATGAATTACTGAAAGCACTGACATTGGCTAATAGATCCATGGTTTTTTAATCTTTTAAATTTCGTGACATTTATGGTATATGGTTCCTTAGAATGTTGCTATGTGTAATGTCATTCATCATAAATGTTGATCAGGTGATTAAAATGGGTAAGTTGGGCATGGTGATGTTTACCTGTAGTCCCAGCTACTTGGGAGACCAATTCTAGAGGATTGCCTGAACCCAGGAGTTTGAGGCCAGCCTGGGCAACATAGTGAAGCCCCATCTCTTAAAAAAAATTTTTAAGATAATAATGCAGCCATAAAAATGAACAAGATCATGTCTTTTGTGGAAACGTGGGTGGAGCTGGAGGCTATTGGCCTCAACAAACTCAGGAACAGAAAACCAAACACTGCGTGTTACGATTCAGAAAGTGGAAGCCAATGATAAGAATTTAGAAACACCCGACGCAGGGCTCTGCTTGAAAGGGGAGAGTAGGAGGAGGGGAGGAACTACTGAGTACTGGGCTTAGTACCTGGGTGATGAAATAATTCGTACAACAAACTCCCGTGACATGTGTTTACTTACGTAGCAGACCTTCACATGTGCTCCCGAATCTGAAAGTTATAAAACATATGAAATACGTGACGTTCATTTTGGTATCTGCGGCTCTGCTTGTTCCTAGCTTTTACACAAGAATTGAATAAAAACTATTTTATCTTTCTGCATCACATAGTCTGTAGTGTAGACCAAAATGCAAATATCTCATATTGCTGGCTGCCGAGACTTGGGTATGAAGATCTTTCAAAGTGCCTGTTATACAATTACCCAGTTCCTGCTTCAGTGTGGAGAGGCGGAGAGGTGGACAGCCGGCTACCTTCGTGGTAAAAGAGACTGAAATGAGAAGCTCTGTGCCATTAATAAGAGTTTTGGCCAGCAGCCAAGGCTCAGAGTGTGGGATTAGCCTGAACAGTTGAGACTGTAGGGCCAGAACAAGGAGGCAGGAATGGTGAGGTCACAGTGCTGCCATCTGCGTCCTGACTTGGTGGGGGCCAGGGGGTGCAGCAGATGCATTGCTGTTTCTTAGCGCAGGCTGGAGGGTCTTCCTGCTCTTCTGCTCGGACTGACTCCAGGGAGCTAGTCCTCAATTCGCAGGGAGTATGCTTTTAAAGGGCTGTAGGTGTGGTTGAATTGTATGGGAAATGGCTGCTCTGGGATTTTCTGGAGTCTTTACTAAAAATAAAGAAGCATACGTAAGCAGTTTGCATCTAGCATTTGTTCTGTGGAGGCACCATTCATGTTAAAGATGGTGTGTGGGGGACAGATAGCATTTCTGTGATCTTGTTTCAGATATTTTTTTTTTCTTCTAGAATCAGTCGTTTAGGCGAGGACACTGACAGTGATGTTTTACGTATTTTGGAATATTAAAATTTGAAACAGAGAAAGGCTTTGCTCTGTTAGTGTTAATACTGGCAATTTAGACATACATAAGAAATTTATAGCCTTGTCTCTAAAAAAAGAAATTTAGCCAGGTATGGTGGTGCGTGCCTGTCACCCCAGCTACTCTGGAGGCTGAGGTGGGATGATCACTTGAGCTATGGAAGTTGAGGGTGCAATGGACTCCAGCCTGGGTAGCAGAGGGAGACCCTGTTCTCAAAAATAAAAAGAAAAAGAAATTTGCTGAATGAAAGGTTTGGATCATTGATGACCTCTTGTCCATTGTGAACTGATTGGTAATTGGGTACTGGCTTACAAAATGAAAGGAGAGACAGTTGCTTCTGTCTGTGATCAACGTGTGTCAGACTTGGGTGGAAACGTCAGTAGCAGGGAGTCGTCTTTGCATCTGACAGCTGTTGGAGTAAACATTATTTTCTGGTTTATGTACTTTACTCTCTGTAGTGTTTTTGAAGAGCAGTTTGTGAGACATAAAACCTAAGTTGTTTTAGTCAGTTTTCTGTTGCTACAGTTAAATCCCGAGGCTGGGTACTTTATAAAGAAAAGTACTTTATTTATTATAGTTCTGGAGGCTGGGAAGTCCAGAGTTGAGGGGCTGCATCTGGTGAGAGCCTTCTTGGTGGTAGGACTTAGTGGGGGCAGGGGGCTGAGCGTGTCTGCTCTGCTCTCTCTCCTCTTACCAGGCCATAACTGCCCCACCTTTGTGACCTCATCTCATCCAAACTGCCTTCCAACTGTCTCACCCCTCAAGTAGCACAGGCCGATTTCCCACCTTCTGCAGATGTGCCGTCACAGTGGGGATGAAGCTTCCACATGAGCCTGGGAGGGGGCACGTTTAAATCATAGCAGTAGGTTATGACACCTGTATTTCCATGGAACTAGGTATCTTCTTTTTACTAGCAGAATTTAAAATGGCTGTGAATAATGTTTCAGAATCAGGGAAAAATACCAAATATAACTAAAATGTAAGTGAGACGTGGGTTTTAGCGGCACAGGGGAAGTAGTTTGCATGCGAGGTTATCTGGGACTGGATGCAGACGTTCTGTCCACAGCACGCACGGGCCAGCGAGGGCAGCTTTAGGGTCGTCACTGAAATTAGCTGCAGACAGCAGTAAACATGGTTGAAATCTTAGTCATTTAACTTACTGTTTAAATTTTTTTGAGTACATAGTAGATGAATGTACTTACGGGGTCCACGAGATGATTTGATATAGGCATGCAATGCATAGTGATCGTTTCATGGAAAATGGGGTGTCTGTCTCCTCAAGTATTTATCCTTTTATTACGAACAATCCAATTACCAAACCCCCTGAAAACTGTGTACCAGTAATACAGGGAGTTACCCACGTGGCTGTTTGAAACATGGTCACTAAGTGGTGCATGTTTACAAACGTGGGAGCTGTTGTGTAGGTGATGTTCACTCCTGTGAACGTGCAGCTGTGGTGTGGCCGACAGTAGGGAAGGAACACGCCTGCGTGCTCTAAGTGTTCTGCAAGCCAGCGCAGCTCCACACAGGACCAGTGCTGATGGCAGAGTGAGGCATGGGGACTGTGACCTCTGTCTGTCCTCACGTGGTGGCATTCCAGCAAAGCCACGTGGGTGGGTACAGTATCTCCAGCAACCTGGTGGTTATTAACTGACACACCTTGACTTTTATCCTTGGGGCAAAAGTTGTACCTGGTGCCTCAGTTTCTCCATTGTTCAAAGCAGTCAGAGGGTTCAGTCTTAAATGGGAACAAAAGGGAATCCATTTTAAAAGATTGACTTCAGATATTGAGCGTAGTAACTAAATCTGACTGTGTTTTGAAAGGATATACTACTTTTCATTACTTCCATCCCAGTGTTTCTTAAAAACAGGAAAAGAAAGGAGAGGTGGCCCCAGAAAGGGGCACCTTCAGCAGCGGTGTCCTGAGGGCCTGGGGCTGGGCTTGCCTAGGAGAGGCAGCTCCTTCCTCAGGGCCCTTCCTCTGGGGCATCTGCTGTTCGTCCTGTAGCATGTGAGTGGACTCTGTAGTGCTGGCTGGGTCCAGGTCACAGCTTGTGTTGATGGCTGAGTCGTGTTGAGCTGTATGTAGACACATTTTGCTTGTCTGACATCCGCCATCGTACACTCGGGTTAGCTGCTGGGAACCAAGTCGTGTGAACTGTGCAGGTTGAGGTGCAGCTGTCTCTTGGGGGCCCTGCTTTTGGTTCTTTTGTGTGTCTACCCGGAAGTGGAACTGGTGGATCCTGTGCTTACTCCATTTTTTTATTTTTTGAGGAATCATCAGGCTGTTTTTTAGCAGTTGCACCATTACACGTTCCCACCAGCAGTGCACAAGGATTCCTGTTTCTCCACAACCTCGCCTGCTCCCTGGTTCCCTGTAGGGTGCAAGCACCCTGTCACCAGGACACGGTAAGCACAGTCCCCAGCTGCCCTTTTTTATGGTGTGACCTTTACCAGCAGATCTGACGGACCAGAGGTGAATCCTGGGTATCTTTAAAGGAAGTTTACTCACCTCGCCCCAATCCCACTCCGTCCTTGGAGGTGTGCTGTGCTGTAGCTCTGGCCGAGCCTGCCCATGGGCAGTGCCCCCAGATGGCTCCACCTTCCTCACGCTGCCCTCCGGCAGACTCATCCTCATCCTCCACCACCACTGCTCTGCCACTGCAGACCTGACTGCTACAGTGTTTGCTGTGCCAAGCAGTTCTTATAGTTGGAGATTTGTCTTATATTGGTAAAATCATTTTTGAGACTTCAAAAAGAATTCTCAGTGAGAAGGAAAAGAAGGCTTTTTAAATTCTAGGGAGAGATACTGTGTTTCATCATGAAATTTGTTTGTCTTTTGCTTAATGCAGACTTTAGTTTATTATGTAAAACGTGTGAAGATGCACGCCTTGGAAGATTACAATGGGTAAGGTACACTTTTCAACTGTCTGTGCAATGTATTGTTTAGAAGCAGTGGAGTGACCTTGCTGGTAGCACCTGAGGGAGTGCCAGGCATGGGGCTGCTGGGCAGGCAGCTCCCGAGAGCCCTGCAGGGCTGGGCGTGGCCCCCATCAATTATTGACATACTTGGGGCACTCAGCCGGGCTGGTTCACAGAGCTGGATGCCAGCTCTGCCTTCGTGTCTCCAGCTCTGCCCTCTGCCTGTCACCCTGTGGCAAACGCAGCCCATGCTCCCTGCATGAGAGGCTGCAGCGGCTGTGTCTTGCCTTGGGTGTTTCAGGGCTGATGATTGTTGTGTTCCCATAGTGGCCGTTGATGAAAAACATTATATTACATAAAATATGTGACCATGCCGGGCACGGGTGGCACATGCCTGTAATCCCAGCACTTTGGGAGGCCTAGGCAAGTGGATCACCTGAGGTCAGGAGTTCAAGACCAGTCTGGCCAACATGGTGAATACTCTGTCTCGACTAAAAATACAACATTTAGCCAGGTGTGGTGGCAGGCGCCTGTAGTCCCAGCTACTCGGAAGGCTGAGGCAGGAGTTGCTTGAACCCAGGAAGTGGAGGTTGCAGTGAGCGGAGATTGTGCCACTCCACTCTAGTCTGAGTAACAGAGCAAGACTCTATCTAAAAAAAAAAAAGTAGGGTATGGTGGCTCACGCCTATAATCCCAGCACAGGAGGAAGGATCACCTGAGGTTGGGAGTTCGAGACCAGCCTGACTAATGAAAAGAAACCCTATCTCTACTAAAAATACAAAAATTAGCAGGGCATGGTGGCACATGCATGTAATCCCAGTTACTTGGGAGGCTGAGGCAGGAGAACTGCTTGAAACTGGGGGGCAGAGGTTGCAGTGAGCTGAGATAGCGCATCTTTGAACTCCAGCCTGGGCAACAAGAGTGCAACCATCTCAAAAAAAAAAACAAACCAAAAAAAAAAAAACACCAAAAAACACATATATAACCAGTTTCTTCTCGTTGCCTTGGACTGTTGTTCATCTTAGTGCTAGCACCTCCCTCCCTCCCTCCCTCCCTCCCTCCCTCCCTCACTCCCTCCCTCCCTCTCTCTCTCTCACACGTCTGGTGCTGTGGCTCAGCCTGGACTGCAGTGGCACGATCTTGGCTCACTGCAACCTCTGCCTCAGCCACAATTACAGGCGCCCACCACCACTCTGGCTAACTGGTCTCTTCTTGAACTGAGCTTGTGATCCACCGTCATCATCCTCCCAAAGTTCTGAGATTACAGGTGCGAACCACAGGGCCCAGCCCTACTTTCTCTTGTGTTACAATTTTGCATCAATGTTAGGATGAAGTAAATGAATCCTGTAAGGTTATAGATAAATATTCAATGTTTTATGTTTTCCATAAACTTTTCTCAAATATGTTTGTTTTAAAATAATTTTGTTGTAGTGACCCCTTTGCTTAAACATACGGTGAAGTAGAAGAAGCAGGGAGAGAAAAGAGGAGGAAAAGACAAGTCACTGGCAAAGCAGGTATGGGCCCGGCTTCAGGGCCCATGTGGTCATCCTGAAGGAGGGCAGGCAGCAGATGGGAGATGCACTCAGGAATCTGCCTGGCCGAGCACACACATTCTTGAAGGCAAGCGGGACCCACCCAGCCAAGGCTTCTAGAGGCAGACTGGTGTGTTTGGTGGACAAGGGCCACGTGCTGAACACTTTGGTGGCGATGAGTAGAGCAGACAGAGCTTTTACCTCTCAAAGGTCAGCCACAGTGTGTGTGAGGTCGGGGGTGGAGTCGAGAGGAAGTGGCCCCGACCAAAGGCCTCACTCTTTTGGGGCAGGGTTTTCTCATTTTACTGAGTTTGCCAGAAGCTCTGCTTCGAAATCCTGGGTGTGACCCCTGAAGATCTGTCCTGACCTCCCTCTGTGACCAGCATCAGCAAGTGCCCTGCTGCGGCTGACCTGAGAGCAGGGGGGCTTTACTGTGGCTTCTGCTCAGCTTTTTCAGGGGGGCTCTGAAACCCGGGGGGCTTCACTGTAGCTTTTGCTCAGCTTTCTCGGTGGCTGCCTGAGACATTGCCGGGCATGGGCCCCTGGCTTCTGACTCTCCTTCCCCCAGGGCTCTTCACCTCCTGTGTAGCACAATGTACATGTGGCCACCATGTCCAGTGCTTAGGACAAGTCTTGCCTCATGTCCAGCACTCCATCCCTAGGGAAATGTGTATCATACTTTTCAAAGAAAATAGCAGCTGGATGCAGCACCCAAATGCTGGGACCACAGCCGGACCACGCCTGCGGTCCCAGCATTTGGGAGGCTGAGGTAGGCGGATCTCTTGAGGTCAGGAATCAGTCTGACCAATGTGGTGAAACCCCATTCCTACAAAAATTAGCCGTGCATAGTGGCACATGCCTGTCATCCCAGCTACTGTAGAGGCCGAGACATGAGAATTGCTTGAACCTGGGAAGCAGAGATTGCAGTGAGCCAAGATCACTGCCTTCCATCCTGGGTGACAGCTGAGACTCTGTCTCCAAAAAAGAGATAATATCCGCTTTATTTAGAGAATTGACATACTGTAAGTCTACCCAAATAAAGCATACAGTTCAGGGGTTGTTAGTGCATTCACAGGTCTGTTCAACCACCACGACTGTCAGTTCTAGAACATTTCTGTCAGCTCCGAAAGAAACTCGGACCTTTAATTATCACTCCTTGTCCCCCCTCCAGCCTCTGCTTTCTGTGGGTCTGCCGTCCTGGTCATTTTGTGTCTGTGGAATTGCGTGCAGTGTAGCATAACAGGATCCTGTGCATGGGACACAGGCCCTGTGTCCACAGCACCCACAGCAGCATTGCCTTAATGCCAAGCACAGAGAGGAGCTTCATCTCCATGCCTTAACCTAAACACACGTCAGAGAGTCTGTATCCAGTGTTTTTTTAAAACGGTTTGATAGGATCTTCTTTGAATACATGTATTTATGAGATGAGAATCAGTTATTTGGCTTAGTGGGTAATGAATGCCTGGAGCGATTTGAAGAGGTAGTGAAGGGTGTGGAGTAAAGTCAGCCTCCCGCGTACCTCCATCCCCTAGGCCCTCGAGGCCATCCTAGAAGTGCTGCCTGCTCAGTGTCAAGGACAGCCTCTTCCTGCACTCTTGGAAATCTGGTCTTCCTTCCCTAGGGCCGTGGATGCCATCCCTCCAGGAATTTGTTCTGCTTTTCCAGGTGTGTTTGGTGTTGTGTGGGTGTGGGGTGATCGGTATTTGATTTCATTCCTGGCCATGGAACCCCTCGCTCACGCCCACCACCAGCTGCCTCCGCCTCTCTGCTCTCCTCAGTGGTGCTCTTCCTGTGCCTGCCTGCCTGCCGTCGTCCACTCTCTTGCCCTGTCTCTTAGAGCTTCTTCGAGGTATAATTTTTAAATACTATGAACTGCACTGATTTTAATAGCGGTCGGGGATGCAGCCTGAGAAACGCATTGTTAGGTGGTCTTGTCCTGTGAGCGTCGCAGAGTGCGTGTACACAGACCTAGAAGGCAGAGCCTCCCACACACCTAAGCTACATGGTAGATCCTGTTGCTGAGTCACCGTGCTGAATCGTGTAAAGAAATCGCAACACAGTGAAGTGTTTATGCCCTGGGACCAGTTCTGCTCAGTGATGATTTTATGGTGCTACATTCCCCCGTGATGAGTGTGGCCTGTTGACGGAAGCATCATGTAGCTCATGAATACAAATGGGAGAGTTTTACCAACTTTGTTGGAACAGCCTCCTTCCCCCCATCACAGTCACAATACAGCGTATTTCCATCGCCTCCAAAAGGCTCCCCTTTTCCTTTGTGCAGCACTTTCCTCCTGCTTCCTAGACCCAGGATGCTGCTGTGCTTTCAGTCACTGTAGGTTTTGTTTTTCTAGAACTTAATATGCATGGAGTCATCCAGTGTGGAGTCTTGGGTCTGGTGTGTTTCATCTTCCTTTTGAGATTCATCTGTGTTGTGTGGTGTATGTCAGTAGTTTTCTGAGTAGGTTTTTTGGGACGTAAATATGTCATATGTTTATTCTGTAATCAGTTTGTAGATGTGTACATGGTTTCCTATTTTTAGCTATTGGGAGTCAAGCTATTTTGAGTAGATGAATGCAAGGCATCCAGTGGATGTGTGGTGTACTTTTTCTCTGTTAAATTCCTGGGCCTGGGTTTCTGGGTCATATGTTAGATGAATGTTTAACTTTTTAAGAACCTGCCAGACTCCTTCCAAAGTGACCACACAGTTTTGTCTTCCCACCAGCAGTGAATGGGAATTCCATTTGCTCTGTCCTCACCGCTATGTGGTATAATCCGTCTTCTCCATTTTAGCCATTCTAGTGGATTGTGGTTTTAATTTCCATTGCCTTAATGAAAAATGATGTTGCTTGGGTTTTCAACTGGCATTTTTGGTGGGGGGAAGGGATTGTCCATGTATCTGCTTTGCTGAAGCATCTGTCTTTACCTTCACATCTGCCATTTGTTCATTTCTCAAAATTGGGTTGTCTGGTGATTTTCGAGAGTTCTTTATAGATTCTAGACACAGGTCCTTTACCAGCTCTATGTTGTTTGGATTTTTTTAAAAACCAGTATTTGGCATGTATTTTTCTTTTCTTTTTTTTTTTTTTTAAATGATTATTATTTTAGAGATGAGATTTCACCATGTTGGCCAGGATGGTCTCCATCTCTTGACCTTGTGATCCGCCCGCCTCTGCCCCACAAAGTGCTGGGATTACAGGCACGAGCCACTGCACCCGGCTATTTTTATTTTCTTAATAGTTTCTTTTGAACAGCTAAAGTTTTTGGTTTGATGAAATCAACTTAATAGCTTTCTCTTGGGTACTTTGTGCTTTTTGTGTCCTTAAGAAATCTCTCTTACCCAGTGTTGGAGGTGTTTTCTCTCATGTTTTCTTCTGGAAATTACATAGTTTTCACTCATACTTACTTCAATTCTGAGGTGATTTTTGGTGTATGGCATAAGGTAAGGTTAGAGGTTTTTGTTACCTATTTTTTGCATAAAGATATCCAATTTCCTGCATCGTTTGTTGTAAAGATTGTTTTCCCATTCAGTTGCTTTACCTTTGTTAGAAATTAGTTGACTATATTTGTATGGGTCTATTTTTGACTATTTCTGTTCCATTGTTCTATTTATTCTTTTGCTAATACCACACTGTCTTGATTACTATAGTTACTATTTTTAAAAAAAGGTTTTTTTGAGACAATCTTACTCTTTCCCAGGCTGGAGTGCAGTGGTGCCTTCTAGACTCACTGCAACCTCCGCCTCCCAGGCTCAAGTGATTCTCCTGCCTCAGGCTCCTGAGCAGCTGGAATTACAGACATCTGCCACTGCATCCGGCTAATTATTGTATTTTTAGTAGAGAAGAGGTTTCACCATGTTGGCCAGGCCAGTCTTGAACTCCTAACCTCGGGTGACCCACCTGCCTCGATGTCCCAAGGTGCTGGATTACAAATGTGTGAGCCACTGCGCCTGGCAATGATCACTGTAGTGTCATGTCATGTCTTGAAATCAGTAGTCAGTAGTTTTTATCTATCTACTTGGCTCTTTTTCTACAGTGCTGGGTTCTACTAGGTCCTTTGCATTTTTCAGAATCAGCTTGGCACTGTCTATTTATAAAAAGTCAGCTGGGATTTTTCATTGAGATTGTTTTGAATCTTTAGATCAATTTGGAGAGAATCAACATCCTCATATAGAGCCTTCTGTTTATTTCGACTGGTCTTGCATATATTTTATCCTTGTAACTTTTTAATCCTTTTGGATTTTTTTAAACTTTAGTTTCCTGTGGTTTGTTGCCTGTCCACAGAAACACAATTGATTTTTTAAAATACTGACCTTAGGTCTTGCAAATTTATTTAAAGTTGTTTAAAACAGAAATTTCACAGGATTTTCTATATAGATGTTTGTGTCATCTGTGAATGGACAGTTTTCCTTTCTTTTTTTGTACTGTTGCACTATTTAGGAATTCTAGTACAACAGTTAGTGGAAGTGTTGAGAGTGGAAATTACTGCCGTGTTCAGAATCTTAAGGGAAGAGATAAGGTCTTCAATTAAATATGTTGCCTGTTGTGTTTGAGTAGATTCCTTTCATCTGGTTGGCAGTTTCCTGTTTCTTAGTTTCCTGAGAGTCTTGTTGTTGTTGATTTGGAGTTTTGCTTGTTGCCCAGTGTGGAGTGCAATGGCTCGATCTCGGCACAGCCTGCACCTCCCGGGTTCAAGCGATTCTCCTGCCTCAGCCTCCCGAGTAGCTGGGATTACAGGCATGTGTGACCACACCCAGCTAATTTTGTAGTTTTTGTAGAGATGGGTTTTCTCCATGTTGGTCAGGCTGGTCTTGAACTTGCGACCTCAGGTGATCCGCCCACCTCACCCGTCCAGAGTGCTCAGATTACAGGCATGAGTCACTATGCCCAGCCTCCTGAGAGTCTTTAACGGGAACGGAGCAGAATTTTGTCCTTTGCTTTCTCCCCGCATCTGTCAACATGATAATTTTATTAAAAAGCAGTTGG